GCCAAGATCCATCTGACATCAGCAGTAATATCCCGTGTTCCATATTCTCTTCTAAATCGGGCCTGACTCTCTGGCAGCTAACTCTCACCATACTGCTACAATCATTATTGGATGATCTTCAGCAAAATTTTCTCTGCCTGTCATATCAACGATGTTGTTCTGTAATTTTCACATTCTCTTTGGTGACTTTCTTTGGAATGGGCACAAATATGGACCTTTTCCAGTCCGTTGACCAAGTAACTGTCTTCCAAATTTCCTGCCATAGGCAAGTTAAGTGCTTCCAGGGCTCCATCAGCTGGCTGGAAGATTTCTATTGGCACGTCATCAATTCCTGGAGACTTGTTTTTGGCTAATGCCTCCATTGCAGCTGAACTTCTTCCTTCAGCCCCACCGGTAACTCTTTACATAGGAAGCAAGCTCCACCTTTCTCCCTTGGAGAAGCTGGTAGCTTCTAACTGCTGACCTTGCCAACTCAAGTGCCCCTGACCCCAGCCATGGCATTTTCAGTGGCCTCATCTGCAGGTGAAAGTTGGACATCACCTAAGGAAGACCGTGGAAGAATCAATGCATTCGGGTGTGGCTCTGGGGGAGACGATTGGAAGAACCACGGCCCGCTAAAAGGACAAATAAGCCTGTATTGGATGCAGTAAGGCCAGAGTGCCCCTTCGTCTTACATACTTTGGACATATTGTCGAGAGAGATATGTCCCTGAAAAAGAACATCAGGTTTGGTAAAGTGGAGGGACAGGGAAAAAGAGAAGACCCTTCCCAAGATGGATTGACACAATGGTTGTATCAATGGGTTCAGACATAGGAGCAATTGTGAGGATGACCCAGGACCGTGTAGTGTTTTGTTCTGTTGTACAGAGAGGGTCGGTGTGGGTCAGAGGCCACTAGATGGCACCAAAGAGCAACGATTGCATATTTGGTCAATTTCTGACCGAAGATGTTGAAGAATACTGTAATTTCTCATCACTTGCTTTTATGGTTAGTGCATACATTTCAACAATAGTTGTATGAATTGGATTCCTTGAAAATTGGTAGATATAATCCTATCACAGCATTGTTCTGCTAGATTAATTTTGAAATGCCCTTTTTGACCTTGAATGCAATGCCGTTCCTCTTGATCACGTCATTCCTACTACAATAAAATGTATGCTGATTCATTTTCTGATTCAAAATGGCCAATACTAGACCATTTCAGCTCAATAACGCCAAGGATCTCAGTCTTAATGTGTTTTGTTTCCATTTTGACGACTTCCTATTTCCCTGGATTCATAGTTTGCACAGTCCAAGTTCTAATCATTCGCACATTTTGGAACTATTTCTTCTTACCTTGAGTCATGCCCTGTCAGCAAGGCTGAAACGTGTCCCCAAGGCTCCAGTCCTACAGGTTTCAGTCCTTTCAAATCACTGTGATTTACTCCACTTTGAGAAAGCAGCTCCTAATCACTCGTCCTTCGACTGCCCTACAACCTGAGGGAGCCATCCTCCGGCGCCATCTCCGACCACGTCCTGCCCCCTTTCATCAGCCCTTCATTATCTGAGAACAACGATAGATAGCCTTTGAGCTTTTAGGGGAAGAAAAGCTACTACCATATAGAATGTGCCCTAACTCCCAATTAAGCACTCTTTACTCAAGTCTTAGAAACAGCTCAACAGTTTCCACAAAAAGAGATTCCCAACCAAGGACAGGAATTTATATTCATGGAAAATAAATAGAAATTGTTAGGTAGTTTAACTTCGGCACTGGGGCGTCCATTACACATGCTCAGAGGTCCCCGCTACTGGCCCATGAAGGAGTGATACACTGCACAGGCTCAGAGGTTCAGTTTCCAGCCAGGAAGGGGAGGTACACCTGGGTGGGCGCTGCACCTGGGATGGCCCACCTAGACCAGGTGAATTCAATTCAGCCAATGGGGTCGACCAGGATCGTCCACCACCCCTCCCCACAGAATAATTGAAAAAGTCAGGAGCCCGGAGCCGACAGTGTGACTTTCCCAGCAGTTTCTAGGCAGGCTGCACCGGGTGAGGGGCGCTGCCGGTGCCTGTGTGAACCTGAAACTTCTTCTAACTCTCATAAAACTCACCTGGATCACAAACCACCCCTCGGTGTGAATCATGCGGAGCCAAGGACAGAGGTATATCTCGACCCTGAGAGATCTAACAAAATCATAAAACCTAAACCAATCACTCTCAAAATAGGTTTGCCAAGCAAAGAGCCAAGCAAAGAAATCACCAAAAGAATGTGAACTTAACTGGAATTGGAAGGCATCTAATCCTAGAGCCAAGTACGCATTTCCCAATCCTGCTTAGATTACACACCAACCCTGAGGAGCTGTGAGGAGCCTGAGAGCCAGACTCTATTACAGGAATTAATCAGTGTACACAAAACACTGAGTGATAAACCAAAAGAAATGCGCATGGTGTGCCTGACCTCCAAGAATGTGTTCCTCCCAAAAACCCTTTCATTTGCATAAACTAAAGGAAGTTAAATTTTACAGAGAAGATAAGGCCACACAAAGCAATTATTTACAGATTCTATCATCAGGACAGGTCATCGAATTTATTTATGTCTGTTCAGTTCACATCCTTTCAGTTCTGACTCCAATTTATCACCTCGCTGACAGCTACATACAAGATTTCCAGGAATACCCCCAACCAAGTGGTACTTGAACCCCTGCAACTGGCAAACCAGAGAGGCTCATCTGCTTCCGTGGATTGCATTTTTTGTATCCACTCACCCTTGGTCATTGGGCTTCTGACTCTCAGCTGGAACGTGAAGGTAGGAACTGGAGAACACCTTATTTAATTGATTTATATGCTTTAATCCTTAAGATAACAATCCAGGTACTACAATATAGATCTTTTGAAAAGAGCCATTGCCATAGCGTAGACAGTGACGCATGTGCATCTGAACACTGTTTTCTCCAGGGTTTTCGAGGGCTGGTTCTTCAGAAGTAGATCACCAGCTCTCTCTTCCCAAATATCTCTGAGTGGACTCAAACCTCCAATCTTTCAGTTAGCAGTGAACTTGTTCACTCTTTTTTATTACCTTGAACATGTTCACTCTTCGCACCAACCAGAGACCCCACTATATAAATCACATTAATTCAAAAAAATGCATAAGAAATCGAAAACTCAAAGGAAAGGTATCTGTGAGAAAGAGGGAGCCCTTGTGGCCCTGTGATGACTAGGTAGGCTGCTAACTGCAAGCTCAGCGGTGCAAAACCACCAGCTGCTCCAGGGAGGCCGACTGGCCTTGCTACGTGGTGCAGTGTTCCAGGCTCCGAAACACCCAGGGGCTGTTCCGTCCTGTCCTAGAGCAGCGCCATAACTTGACCCCGTGGCAGTGAGTTTGGTTTGGGTTTGAATAAGTGAGAGACACAACCTAATCACGTGAAGCTTAGAAATTCAGGAACTCTAAGCAAAATACCCCAAACCTTCCACCTCAATAATATCTCTTTTCCACCAAGGTATTTTCCACAAATATTGCTACTCTTCTCTTGATCTACCTGCAGCCTCCAAACTCCCCCCACCCCTGCCCCCTGCCAGGGAATCTTATTCTCTACCTGGACTATTTCTGCTTCCCCCACAAAGGGGCTTGCCTCTTTAGGAAAGCCATTGTCTCATCCAAATATAGGATCCCAGGTGGTGTAGTGCTTATGGGTTCAGCTGTGATCTGCAAGATCTGCAGTTCAAAACCACGAGCTGCTCTGAGAGAGAATGACTGGGCTTTCTACTCCTGTAAAGAGTGACCATCTCAGCAACTCACAGGGGCAGGTCTGCTGTATCTACTGGGCTGCTATGAGAAGTCATCAACTAGAAGGCAATGAGTTTTTCTGGAATACAGTGAGTTTTCTTAGGGCCTGCAAAGGGGAGTCAGACAAGATCCTGGTGCTCTATTCAGGTCCTACACATATATACATTTAATGCTAGGACCGTGAAGGGAGAGCTATAAAACTTACATGAAAAACCATAGGAGCACGTGGGAGGAAACAATTCTTTCTGTCCATGGAAGTTAGGGAAGGCTTCGCAAAGGAGATCTTTCTTGACTTTTCTCTTAAAGGATGGGGGGGTTGGTTGGGGTGGGGGGGGGGCAGAGCTTCCAGCTGTTTGTTAAGGAAGTCTACTAGGAACCCAGCACTCCAAGAACAGGGATCATGTGTCAACGTGGCTCAGCAATGAGAGGCTGTGAGGTGTGGGAGATTCCTCACTGCTCATAACCCTAGTGCCTCTACTATTCCACCATGCCTACTGCTCATTGCATTGCATACCCTTTAAAACCACTGACTGAGCCCACTGCCATGAAGACATTTCTGCTCTCAGTCTAGGAAGATAGAGACTACATTCAGGGTGCTGGTCCTCGGGAGAGACTCTCTGCTCAGGGTCCTGTCTTCTCAACTCTGCTTCCCCAGTACTGTGGTCTTAACACAGAACACATCTGTCTTCTCCCGTCTCTGCTCCCTTGCTTCCTTCATTGAGCTATTCAATCTGTTTCTTTTATATCTCAAAGAGTGACTCAAAAAACACCTTACACAAACACTCTACATTCACAATTTTGCACAATCCCCACCTCTATGGAGTCCTAAGTATGTTTATCAGTCCCTGTTTTAAAAACATAATAATTATCCAGACCATTACAAATCACTCTCCATTCCCACCTTCTCCAATTCCCAGTCTCTGAAAACCACTAATCTGTTTTCTCTCTCTTTGGATTTATGTACTATAAATATTTCACATAAGCAAAATAGTGAAATAGATGGCCTTATCTGTCTATCCTCTTTTACTTGCATGCTATATAAAGGGGCTCATCCAGAGTGAGATACACTAAAACATACATTAGTACTTCACTCCACTTTACAGGTGAAAACTATTGCATTATAAAAGAAGGCACATTTTGTTTGTACATTCCTCAGTTGATTGAATTTTGGATGTTCCCATTTTTTAGAGATTATAAATAATGATGCTACTAGCATTCATGTTCAAGACTTCGTATAAATGCATGTTTTCGGTATCTTGGGTATGGTCCTAAGAGGGTATTTCTCAGCCATATTGTAATTCCATGTACACCTTTTTGAGGAACCATTTAACTGTTTTCCATACTAGCCATAAATATAGATTATATATCTTTATTAATACTTTATCTATATTTATAATAGGAACCCTGGTGGTGTAGCAGTTATGAGTTGAGCTGTGATCCTCATGGCTGGCAGTTCAAACTCAACAGCAGCTCCTCAGGAGAGAGAGTGGGCTGTCTACTCCCGTACACAGTCACAGTGTCCGAAACCCACATGGAGGTCACTAGGACTCAGCATTGACTCAATGACAATGGGTTTGATTTTTTAAATACGTGTAATATAGTAGTATATATATTGTATAATTTATGTATTGTATTAATATATTTGTTAACATTTATAAGTATTTTATACTATTTATACGTGCATAGATATGAAAACAAATGTCCCTTCTTTAAAGCCACCTTTTGTGTGGGATTTTGTTAGGACACCCAATGGGACGTAAGACAATTACTTCAAATGCAGTGGTACAGTGACCAATGAAAATCTAAGAACGTCAAGACAAAGTAGTGGCTATTTTCCATCTATTAACCAGGGAAAACTCAATGGCTCTCAATAATTCCATCCATCTTCACTCATGGTGCAGCAGCGGGCAGCATTTCATTCTGCTGTGCCTAAGGCTATCATGCTTTGGGGGCCAATTCAATGAGAGCTAACAACAACAGAACCTTCTTAGATATATTTATAAATAAAGATGCTTCTTATATTAGAAAACACTTTAAGCGATAGTTTATCTTTTGTTTTCTGAATATATGGTGAGTCTCCATCTCACTTTGTGAGAACAAGTCAGCATGAAAACGGACTTGCTGGGATGGGACATCTAGTTCTGGTCCTTCATCTACAAAGAGCCTGGGGCAGATTCTTTGAATTGCTTTCCAGCAATCAGTTACTGTTACATACTCATTAAGGATCATTTCAGCTCTAAAGTTATGATGCAAGGCACGGGGGGTAAAGGTAGAGATGTGGGCAAAGCATGTGCAGAGTCCATGAAAACACCTGGGGATTACATTTCGCAGGACCTTTGCGCCCTGGGGGAGCTCCTAAGAATCTTGGCGGAGGGGAGGGACTCTTAAAATGCTTAGCAAGCATGCTGGGGGCAAGAAATTCCAAGGCCGGCAGTGCTGGCTGGCATGGTTTTCTTCCTCTTGGGAGTTTCTAAATAAAATTCTCTTGCAATACTCTATGTCTTCCAAAAGTAAATATTTCTCTTGGTAAGAAAGCATCAAATTCCTGTAACCGTTATATCACTCTATTTTGAAGGTG